CTAGTCTCCAGGGCATAATCCCTCGGACATCTTCCCCTCCCATTTTGATACATGGTGTTATATATGGATGCCAGCAGTTGGACTAGATGGCCTTTGTGGTCCCTTCAAACAGGAATACTGGTGCCTAAAGGAAGGCACTGACCAGAGAAGGGGAGAAGGGGCAGGGTGGGGGCCTTAGTGGATGGCTTGGCTCTTTCCCTGTAGTCCCATGTAATGGAGCCGTGGGGACAAAAGCAGTACGGACCCTCGTGTTGCGTAGGCCAGCCATGCATCACTGGCATGTTTGGGGCTGTATGGAGGAAAGAGAGCGATGCCGCCGCCTGCCCTTGCTCAGAGGCCTCTTGCGCATGGACTTGGCTCTCCCTCGGTTCCTCTGGGCAGATGCTGTTGTCTTCCACCCTTCCTGTTCCCATGGCAACTATGACTTTAGGGAGAAATGTGCAGTTTTACACTTAGGCATCAAAAACGAAATGCACAGATTTAGGATGGGTGGGACGTGGCTTGGAAACGGTCCGTGTTAAAGGGGCCTCGGGGGATGACAAGTGGAACATGAGCCAACACTGGGATCCTGCGGCTATAAAGGCCAATGTGATGATGAGGATGAGGATGATACGTGTGCTGGTAGGGCTGTACCAGGAGCTCCAACTTCTTTTCCTTTCTATTGAGTGTTTGCATGTATTCCAAAGTTCCATGCATTTTGCAATAAGATAGCTTCCCTTGGTTTGCAATTATAGGGCCAATGACCCATCAATCATCATTAGGTTTCTTAGTTCCGCCCCTTTTTCTGGGTTAAGGAGGGAAAAGGGGGACCTCTAGTTCAGTTCACACAGAGAAGCCTTTTGTATAGGAAGTGAATCAGTTCCACCTGTAGAAAGCTTCGTATTTGATTTATTGAAGATTCAAGCAACAATAAAAACTTTGTTGAACTTTCTAAGTCTTTAAAAGAACTTTGTGTGGGGAAATTCCAAATCCCAAAGACCTCTCAGCCGAGGCACCCCAGGCGTCCCGTTGGGCATTCAGAGGCCCAGCGCATGACCGCACAATATGCTTTGAGAGTCCCCCCAGGGGTGAGAAAGGCGGAATATAAATACTGTAAATAAATAAAAATGATATTCCATTCTGTTTCCCCAAGGGGACTCAGGGCAGATTCCAGTAGACGCGTATATAAGCAAACATTAAATGCCTTTTATACAGTGAACAATGACATGCAATACACAAACAAAGGCAAAGGTTTCCCTTTCCATCTCCGGCATCTGAAGGCAATGCTCAACTCTGGCCACAGGGAGGGTCTCTTGCTCCGTTTTTCCATGCTGAGGAGCCGGTTCTCCATAGACCCTCCTGGTCGTGTTTTGCCGGCATGTCTGCATGGGCACCTTTGACCTTCCTGCCAAAGCGGTACCTATTGATCTGCTCACATTACGTGAGTTCAAACTGCTAGGTTGGCAGGAGCTAGGACTAACAGCAGGAGCACACCCTGACCCACGGCTTCGAACAGCTAGCCTTCTGGTCAGCAAGCTGTCTGCAGCTAGAGGTTTAACCTGCTGTGCTACTCTATAGTTTAGATCAGGCATTTCAATCTCAGCCTTAAGACTGCTTTCAAAAGGCCATTTGGAATTGTAACTGTATACAGATAAGTATGTATGACATCGACAATCCATACTTTGTTTTTTAACACGATTGTGAGGTCAGGAGTCTTGTGCTCCAGAACTCTGTCTGTCTGAATCCTGAAGTCCCAGAGCAGCTTGACGTGGTCATTCTTTGTAACTGTTTCCGGCTTGTGATCCCAACAGTTCTTTGTCGCAGGAAGATGGTCTTTGTGGCACAACTTCCAATGAACCATCTGAGCAACGGTGTTGTGCCTCTGCTTGGAGTCTGTCCGTGATCTTCTTGCAGCAGCTGAGGATTGTTTCGCCTGCTTCTTTGCAGAGTCTGCACTTGGGATCTGTTGTCGACTTTTCAGTTCTGGCTTGGATGGCCTTGGTTCGAATGGCTTGTTCTTGGGCTGCCAGAACCAGGCCCTCCTTTGTCTCCTTTTCCCAAATTGAATTTGTGAACCACATCCAAATTTTTTACTTGTCCATTTGCCTCTCTATTATTATTATTATTATTATTATTAGTAGTAGTAGTAGTAGTAGTATTTGTGTCCACATAAATGACGAAGAGGGCCTGTTCTGTCTCCCAGGAGCCTGATTTGCCTCACTTTCATAGAATCATAGAATCAAAGAATTGGAAGAGACCTCATGGGCCATCCAGTCCACCCCCATTCTGCCAAGAAGCAGGAATATTGCATTCAAATCACCCCTGACAGATGGCCATCCAGCCTCTGTTTAAAAGCTTCCAAAGAAGGAGCCTCCACCACACTCCGGGGCAGAGAGTTCCACTGCTGAACGGCTCTCACAGTCAGGAAGTTCTTCCTCATGTTCAGATGGAATCTCCTCTCTTGTAGTTTGAAGCCATTGTTCCGCGTCCTAGTCTCCAAGGGAAGCAGAAAACAAGCTTGCTCCCTCCTCCCTGTGGCTTCCTCTCACATATTTATACATGGCTATCATATCTCCTCTCATCCTTCTCTTCTTCAGGCTACACATGCCCAGCTCCTTAAGCCGCTCCTCATAGGGCTTGTTCTCCAGACCCTTGATCATTTTAGTCGCCCTCCTCTGGACACATTCCAGCTTGTCAATATCTCTCTTGAATTGTGGTGCCCAGAATTGGACACAATATTCCAGGTGTGGTCTAACCAAAGCAGAATAGAGGGGTAGCATTACTTCCCTAGATCTAGACACTATGCTCCTATTGATGCAGGCCAAAATCCCATTGGCTTTTTTTGCCGCCACATCACATTCCTGGCTCATGTTCACCTTCCTCCCCACGAGGACTCCAAGATCTTTTTCACACGTCCTGCTCTCGAGCCAGGCCTCATTGTCCCCCATTCTGTATCTTTGCATTTCGTTTTTCCTGCCAAACTTTATAGTTGCTTGAGGTTGCTTCCTCTTGCATTTTCTCCCAGGGCTGCTATATTGTATAAGTATTAAGCTATGTTGAGTTAATATAGATAGTGTATTGAGCTATATTGAGATATTATAGATAAGCTTAATTGAGAAGATTGAGTTATATAGTTATCGAGAGAGAGAGTCTTGACTGCTTTGTCTCCAGAACTAACTTTAAGTTATAGATAGGGAAAAACCTTCTTTTTTCTAAACCACAACAGCTTAAGGTTAGGCCAGGGTGTTAAGATTCCAGGATCTTACCCAGAGGAGATTCCATCTGAACATTAGGAAGAACTTCCTGACTGTGAGAGCCGTTCAGCAGTGGAACTCTCTGCCCCAGAGTGTGGTGGAGGCTCCTTCTTTGGAAGCTTTTAAGCAGAGGCTGGATGGCCATCTGTCAGGGGTGATTTGAATGCAATATTCCTGCTTCTTGGCAGAATGGGGTTGGACTGGATGATGGCCCAGGAGGTCTCTTCCAACTCTAGGATTCTAGGATTCTATGATCTGGAGAAAGGGTTACCTCTGTAACTAAAGAAAGGAAAGAATATTTTTGTAGTTTCATCTATTGATTGTTTGTTTGCAACTTTGATGAACTGTGCCAAGTCTTCAAGGATTTTGAATAAATAAATATCCTTATTTGATGTTTAAACCAGGAATATTATTTATTTTTATTTATTTACTTTACTTTACTTAAATACCGCTGTTCTCAGCCCGAAGGTGACTCACAGCGGTTCACAACAAATAAGAACAGCAAAAATTCAATGCTACAGCGTAAAAAACAGTTAACAACCTAACAAATTACACAATTAATAGTCTCAGTTGCTGAGTATCTCAAGCTTCTCAATATAGACACCTGCAGTTCACTCAGACATAGAGAGAAGCACGTCGCAGTTTTGTTTTTTATATCGTCTGAGCGGACGGCACAGGGCCAGATTCGTCCCATGGGCCTGGTGTGCATTTTGGCTGAATCTCGAGCCATTTTTTGCTATCTGGATGTTGGGGGGCCTGTGTATCTGTTTTCACGCCCCTCCTGTAAACAGCTGTGTGCCCAAAAGGCAAATTGGTAGCAATGGGGGCGTCGTCGTTTAAATTGTTGAATGCCAAATGATGCCGTATTTTTGTTGACTTGTTGACGTATTCTCCCCTACGAACCATCAAGATTACTAAGATCATCTGGAGAGGCCCTGCTCTCGGTCCCACCAGCCTCGCAAGCGCGCCTGGTGGGGACGAGGGACAGGGCCTTCTCGGTGGTGGCCCCGCGACTCTGGAACTCTCTCCCTCTGGAGGCCAGAACCGCCCCATCCATCCTAACCTTTAGGAAACGGGTGAAGACGTGGCTGTGGAGTCAGGCCTTCGAGGAATGAGACAACACCATAGGACTCTGGATGGAAGTTGAGGTAGATCCATCTTATTAGGACGACTGACCACTGTAGTTTTATATAGAATCATAGAACCATAGAATCAAAGAGTTGGAAGAGACCTCCTGGGCCATCATCCAGTCCAACCCCATTCTGCCAAGAAGCAGGAAGATTGCATTCAAATCACCCCTGACAGATGGCCATCCAGCCTCTGCTTAAAAGCTTCCAAAGAAGGAGCCTCCACCACACTCCCCCCGGGGCAGAGAGTTCCACTGCTGAACAGCTCTCACAGTCAGGAAGTTCTTCCTAATGTTCAGATGGAATCTCCTCTCTTGTAGTTTAGTGTTTTTAAAGTTGTGCTGTAATTTGTGATATATGATATTTTAATGAATGGATATGTTTTTATGGCTGTAAACCGGGCTGAGTCCCTCGACGAGGTTGAGAAGCTCGGTATAGAAAACTGTGAAATAAATAAATAAATAAATAAATTGAGTTGTAAACAACTTATGAAAAGCTTTTAATTTTTGAAATAATAATCAACTCCTCTCCCTTCCTGTTGTCTCACCCTTGTTCTTAACTAGGAGTCGTTTGCAAGTTGTTGTGTGTAACTCAGGGGTGGCCTGTGCTTGACCCTCGTTCTCTCTCTTCTCTCCTCCAGGCCTCCTTCTCTGCAAACGGCTGCGTCCGGCCGGGGTCGTGGGGACCGAGCGGGGCTTGCCTGCTCCCTGGAGAGGGAGGCCAATGAGGCCCTGGCCGCTCCTCCTCCTGCTGTGCCTCCCCCCGCTGGACTCCAGGACCCACCTCCAGGACCCGCCGGGCCCCCAGAATGGCTCCGCCCCCAGCGCGGCCCCCGCCGAGACCCCCAGCCCCCCTCCGGCCACCTCCAGTGAAGCCCCCTCCCTCTCCCTCAACCTGGGCCTCAACTTCAAGTTCAAGGTCCGTAGCCAGGGAAAGGCTCGGGCGGGAGAGGGCAGCGGCAGTGGCAGCAGCGGGACCCCCAGCGCCAAGCCAAGGCTGGCCCCCACCCGGACCCCCGGCCAGGCTAAGACCCTGTGGCCTGAGGCCGTGGCCGGGTCGGGATGGCCAGGTCCTGGAGCCGTCTCCGAGGACCCCCCTCCTCCTCCTCCGCCTTCCTCGGGGTCCGTCCTCTGGCCCTGGGGCTCCCCCACTCTCCGGCCCCCTTTGCCCCTTTGGCCGAAGCTGACCGAGAGAGGCTTGACCATCCCGCTCAGTGGGGAAGGGGCCGCGGACAAGGAGGACGAGGGCAAGGAGCTGGAGTTCAAGATCGACATTGACCTGACGGCCGGGCTGGGCAAAGACGGGACCTCCAACGGGAGCAGCAGCAACGGCAGCAACAACGGCGGGAGGAGGTTCCCCATCTTCCCCGGGTTCAGCCTCGGCATTTCGGAGATCGCCAGCAAACTGGGGGCTCCTGGTACGTATCATCATCATCATCATAATCCTCATCGTCATTATAATCCTCATCGTCATTATATTCATCTATACCAGGCATAGGCAACCTTTGGCCCTCCAGGTGTTTTGGGCTTGAACGTCCACAATTCCTAACAGCCGGTATGACATTTTACTCGGCATTCACACACACATATACACATTCACTCCTACACGTGTACATTGCCATCCCTTCTCCTGGAAAAGAGACCCCAAAGTAGGCCAGATTGTGTTCCTTGCAAATCTGCCATTCTGCAATTGCACCATCTTCCTCCGTCCCTTGGAGAAGGTCAGCGGGTGGACCAGGCTCCACCGTCTGCCACAATTTTGGAATAGTAAAAGTGTCTCTTGTATAGCAATATCTCTGCTCATGTTCTAAAAAGTGGTAAATGAATGACAAGCTTTTTTGCCAGCTAAAACATGCAGACTCCATCAGTTCCAGACAGATGTTGGCTTTTCTTCTTTTCCTCTTATTTATTTATTTATTTACTGTATTTGTATACTGCCTTTCTCAACTCTCAGGCAACTCAGGACTCCTCCTCCTTTTCTTCCTCCTCCTCCTCTTCTTCCTCCTCCTCTTCTTCCTCCTCTTCTCCTTCAACTTCTTCTTCCCCCTCCTCCTCTTCTTCCCCTCTTCCTCTTCTTCCTCCTCTTCTTTTTCCTCCTCCTCCTCTTCTTCTTCCCCTCTTCCTCTTCTTCCTCCTCCTCCTCTTCTTCTTCCTCCTCTTGTTCCTCATCCTCTTGTTCCTCTTCTTCTTCCTCCTCTTCTTCCTCCTCCTCTTCTTCTTCCTCTTCTTCCTCCTTCTCGTCTTCTTCCTCTTCTTCTTCCTGCTCCTCTTCTTCTCCTCCTCCTCTTCTTCTTCCTCCTCCTCTTCCTCCTCCTCTTCTTCTTCTTCTTCCTCTTCTTCCTCCTCCTCTTCTTCTTCTTCCTCTTCTTCCTCCTCCTCTTCCTCTTCTTCTTCCCCCTCCTCCTCTTCTTCTTCCCCCTCCTCCTCTTCTTCTTCTTCCTCCTCTTCTTCTTCCTCCTCCTCTTCCTCCTCCTCCTCCTCTTCTTCCTCCTCCTCTTCCTCTTCCTCCTCCTCTTCCTCCTCCTCCTCTTCCTCTTCCTCATTATACCCCACTTTATCTTCCCAAAAGAGACTCAAAATGGCTTGACATAAAATCATTAGAATACAATTTAAAATATGCAAACATTAAAATAGAATCAAACAAAAACAGCACTAAAATATTCAGAGTTAAAATCCAACTGAAGTTGGTTTTCTTTCTTAAGGAGCATTGTGTTTGCTTCCTTTAAAAAAGTCATTGTCTCTGGTAATGTAAACATGTTGTTTTCCACCAAGAATTAATCATGTGTCTCTGGTCATTCGTGTTAGCAGTTCAGCAACTTTTAATTGCAGTACATGAATTCTCCTCCTTTGGTAGTTTTCCAGGCTTCAGTTTCAGAATGGCATCTCTAGGCTGTGTAGGCCCCATCCATACAACTTTCATACAATTTCTGTCGCACTCTAGCATTGAAACACCTTTTCACCCAGCACCACAGCAGAGTCCAATAATTCTGTCTAAAAATGTTTATTAAAGAAAGCAGATGGGCAATTCCCAAAGGGTCAGTAGAATAGAAAATACAAAATAGCAATAAAGTAAGAGAACCACAATCCACAGCAGTACTTTAGACTTAAATCCATAAACATGAAAACAGTAACTTCTCCAAATGTAAACCCTCCAAGGAAACAAAGGCATGAACCAGAACAGGAAACTTGAGAACACTTGAATCATGAACTTGGAAGCAAAGACAGGAGAGCCATATCCTATGGCAATGTTGTCTCCTCTGAGAGACTTGAAGCCAAACCACTTAATGTAAGCCTGACCAGGCACCCATGACATCATGCCGAATGCACCTGGACTTCAAGGACTTATCTCGGTCTCCTTGAGAATATCTAGTTTGTCTATTTTTCACTCCTTGTGTTCTCAGGCCTAATCTCGTTTCCTGGGAAAACTCCTCATCTGCACAAGGTCTTTTCTCAAGGGAAATTTCACTTTCCCCTGTTACCTGGAAATGAGCACAGGAATCCAAAACATCAACCTCAACAGTCTGCAATTTTCTCTGTTCACTCACAGACTCCTCACTTTGAAGCCCATAATCCTCCTCATCTGAACAACCATCAGAAAAATCCACTGACGCTTGCTGAGCTACAACAATTTCATTCCATCAATAATAATAATAATAATAATAATAATAATAATAATAATAATAATAAACAACTTTATTTATATACTGCTCTATCTCCCCGTATTTCTCACACTTGTGTCCTGGGAGGAAGGCCAAGGGCAGGGATATAGTTGCACTGAGACCCTTTATTCCCCTTTCCTCCTTTTGGCAGGTCTCTTTGGAGCCCCACTACCCTCCCAGGTGTGGGAGCCCCCCGAGTGGAACGGCACAGGAGGCGGGGAATCCCCACCGACCCCCGAATGGATCCTGGGACCAGGTAAGCGAAGGGAACTACGTCTCCCGGAAGGGGCTAACGCAGGCATGGGCAAACTTCAGCCCTCCAGGTGTTTTGGACTTCAACTCTCACAATTCCTAACAGCCTCAGGCCCTTTCCTTTCCCCCCTCAGCTGCTTAATTGGAAATGAAAGGAAGGGGCCTGAGGCTGTTAGGAATGGTGGGAGTTGAAGTCCAAAACACCTGGAGGGCCAACGTTTGCCAATGCCTGGGCTAGAGGGTTGGGAATGGGTTAAAATGGGTGCTTCTGCATGATGGCTCCTCTTCTTCCTCCTGAGGGGGCTATTTAGGGGTCATAACGAGGGTCCTGAACTGCTATTCTATCTCTTTATCAACAACTTCCTTTATTAATGACTTAGATGAAGGGCTACAAGGCATCAAGTTTGCAGACGGGACCAAATGGGGAGGGAGAGCCAAGACTCCAGAGGACAGGAGCAGGATTCAAAGGGATCTTGACAGATTAGAGAGATGATGAGCCTCCACCACACTCCAGGGCAGAGAGTTCCACTGCTGAACAGCTCTCACAGTCAGGAAGTTCTTTCTCATGTTCAGATGGAATCTCCTCTCTTGTAGTTTGAAGCCATTGCTCCCTTGCGTCCTAGTCTCCAGGGAAGCAGAAAGGAAGCTTGCTCCCTCCTCCATAGAATCCTAGAATCATAGAATCAAAGAGTTGGAAGAGACCTCCTGGGCCATCCAGTCCAACCCCATTCTGCCAAGAAGCAGGAATATTGCATTCAAATCACCCCTGACAGATGGCCATCCAGCCTCTGTTTAAAGCTTCCAAAGAAGGAGCCTCCACCACACTCCGGGGCAGAGAGTTCCACTGCTGAACGGCTCTCACAGTCAGGAAGTTCTTCCTCATGTTCAGATGGAATCTCCTCTCTTGTAGTTTGAAGCCATTTTTCCCTTGCGTCCTCGTCTCCAGGGAAGCAGAAAACAAGCTTGCTCCCTCCTCCTCCCTGTGGCTTCCTCTCACATATTTATACATGGTTCTCATCATATCTCCTCTCAGCCTTCTCTTCTTCAGGCTAAACATGCCCAGCTCCTTAAGCCGCTCCTCATAGGGCTTGTTCTCCAGACCCTTGATCATTTTAGTCGCCCTCCTCTGGACACATTCCAGTTTGTGGTGCCCAGAATTGGACACAATATTCCAGGTGTGGTCTAACCAAAACGGAATAGAGGGGTAGCATGACTTCCCTAGATCTAGACACTAGGCTCCTCTTGATGCAGGCCAAAATCCCATTGGCTTTTTTGCCGCCACATCACATTCCTGGCTCATGTTCCCCTTCCTCCCCACGAGGACTCCAAGATCTTTTTCATACATACTGCTCTCAAGCCAGGCACCCCCCATTCTGTCTCTTTGTATTTCGTTTTTTCTGCCTAAGTGGAGTCTCTTGCATTTGTCCCTGTTGAACTTCATTTTGTTAGTTTTGGCCCATCTCTCTCAGACGATCTTAAGCTCCTAGCTGGTTCATAAGGAGAGATACGCTTGGACAGGTAAGCTGAGCCGGAACCGTTTAGGGCTTTATAGGCTAAGGCCAGCACTTTGAATTGTGCCCGGTAGAAAAGTGGCAGCCCGTGGAGCTGGCGCAACAGAGGAGCTGTGTGCTCCCTGAGTGCCGCCCCGTTAGTAGCCTGGCTGCTGCCCGTTGGACCAGTTGAAGCTTCCAAACAGTCTTCAAAGACAACCCCACATAGAGCACGTTGCAGTAGTCTATACGGGATGTAACCAGAGCATGGACCACCGTGGCCAAGTCAGACTTCCCAAAGTACGGGCTCAGCTGGCGCACAAGCTTTAACTGTGCAAAAGCTCCCCTGGTCACCGCTGAAATCTGGGGTTCCAGGCTCAGCGATGAGTCCAGGATTACTCCCAGACTGCAAACCTGTGTCTTCAGGGGGAGTGTGACCCCGTCAAGCACAGACTGTAACCCTATGCCCTGTTCGGCCTTGCGACTGACCAGGAGGACCTCTGTCTTGTCTGGATTCAATTTCAATTTCTTCGTCCTCATCCAGACCGTCACAGCGGTCAAGTACCGGTTCAAGATCTGGACAGCGTCCTTAGTAGCAGGTGGAAAGGAGTGACGTCATCTGTGTACAGATGGTACCGCACCCCGAACCTCCAGGTGATCTCCCCCAATACATCACTTTCATACACTTCAATGTGGCAATGTACACTTTCAGAAAAAAAACGCTTCCTTTCTACCCACTTCATGCATTCCATGCAACCGATTTATAGCGGCCGCAGTCCTTCCCTGGGATTTTGTGGGGTTTCCCCCCAGTTATTTACTTAAGTGACTAAACTCTGGTGCCTTTTGGGAGCAAGTCCCACAGAGACCATCTCTCCAGGATGGAGACAGAAGAGGAGCGCTTTGCCCGTCCCGGCTGATGGGTTGCCAAGCGGCATCAGCGTCTTCTTCTGCAGACCAGGCTTGCTCTCCCAAAGGCCTGAGGCCCAAACAGCGCAGCCACTTGGCAACCTTGTCACTCCGGTTCCAAGGCGTCGTCTGCGGAGCCTCTGATGGAGGCGGACAGGTGTGCGGCATGTCTGTGCCTGGCTGCTCCACCTGCCTGCTTCTTCCCTTCAAGGGATCCGGCCTAGGAAGCCTCTCCTTGGATGAAAGGCAAGCATCTTCACAAGCAAAGGCAAGGGAAAAAAAGATTCAACTACAAGAAAGGAGATTCCATCTGAACATTTGGAAGAACGTCCTGACTGTGAGAAGAGCTGTTCAGCAGTGGAACTCTCTCTCTCCCCGGAGTGTGATGGAGGCTTTGAAGCAGAGGCTGGCTGGCCATCTGTCGGGGGTGCTTTGAATGCAATATTCCTGCTTCTTGGCAGAATGGGGTTGGACTGAATGGCTCAAGAGGTCTTTTCCAACTCTAGCATTCCATGTTTCTATGATTCTATGAGTGGGATGCCCGCATTGTCTGGAGTCTCATGCATCGTCACATCTAATGCGCACCTGGGCCTGGGTCCAGATCTGTCCAAGATCTGTATTAATGACTTGGGTGGAGGTTCAGACCAGGCATGGGCAAACTTTGGCCCTCCAGGTGTTTTGGACTCCAACTCCCACAATTCCCAACAGCTAGTTTAGAGGGAATACCTATCAAGTTTGCAGATGGGACTGTCAGTGAGGCAAGAACAGATCGATCACAGCCACCTTAGGCTATAAACTCCTTTATTTTACAGCTATATACATTAGAAGCTACTTAATACTCAGCACATCGTAAACTCGCTTCTTTACCGTCCGATCATAACATTGCGAACTCACTAACTGTTACCAGCACTAGTCCACACCTCTTGCATTCCAGAGTGACGTATGACGCCTGAAGCTGCGTCCATTTGTTCTATACACTTGATTTATGACCTCTCTAGGAATGCTGTTCCCTCCATGGTTCAGGAAGTTCTTCTTCATGTTCAGTCAGAATAACATGCAAGTTGCAAACATGGGTATTCTGACTGAACACGAGGAAGAACTTCCTGACTGCAAGAAGAGCTGTTCAGCAGTGGAACTGTCTGCCTCAGAGTCCATGGAAAGCTCCTTCAATGGAGACTGAGGCTGGATGGCCATCTGTTAGGGGTGTTCAAAAGTGTTGGAACACCAACACTTCCAGCCATGGACAAGAAAACCTTGGGGTGCATCTACGCTGCGGAATGAATCCGCTTTAACTGCCTTGCTCCGTGTGTGCTGTAGTTTTACAAGGCCTGATCCTTCTCTGCCAAAGGATGCTGATGCCTCGCCAAACTACAAATCCCAGGATTGCGTAGCATTGAGCAAATGTCCCTCAAATAGGAGCTGATTTGCCTGAGCGTTTTGTACTGGGGAGAGGGAGGGCACCCTGTTTCATATACATACACACACAACCCCAAAAACAGGGACGTGGTCAGCATGGCTCAAACTGTCCCCTGCCTCACACCCAGAAGAACAAGCCAGTGTCCCATTGATTAGTTCTTGCTGGAGCAGACCCACGGAATCAATGGGATTCCCCCCTGGGCTTGATTCTGGGTCTCCTCTTGCAGGAGGGGGAGGGGGGGTTAGGGGGGTGACCCACTGGATCCAGGACACAAAACAATAGTGGGGAGGGGTTGGCTCCCAAGAGGGAATGCAATGGCCATGTTTACGCATCGGAAAGGACGTCCCGTTGAAGAGAGTGGCAAGCTTGTTTCCTGCAATAATAATAATAATAATAATAATAATAATAATAATCTTTATTTATACCCGCCACCATCTCCCAAGGGGACTTGGGGCGGCTTACATGAGGCCAAGCCCAGCAATACAATAAAGCAATGTAACACAAGAGCACAACGGAAAGTAAAGAAAATAAAAATAAAATACAAACCAATATAAATAACAGAACAAACAATATAAAATCAGAACATTGGGCAGGGCCAACTGCGAAAGATTAGAAATACGGTTTAAAACACTGGGTGAGCGAGGAATGTAATGCATCAAGGACAGCAGATCCGGGGATAAAGTAGGGTTTCATTGCAATATCCCGCATTCCTGGGAACCCAACGGAGTCTCCTTCTCTGGAGGTTGTTAAGCAGAGGCTGGATGGCCATCTCCTGGGAGAGCTTTGAGTGTGTCTTTCTGTCTGGCAGAAATAGGGTTGGGCTGGATGGCCTTTGGCATCTCTTCCAACCCTAGGATTTGGAGCATGGTGGAGTCTCCTTCTCTGGAGGTTGTTAAGCAGAAGCTGGATGGCCATCTGCCGGGAGAGCTTTGAGTGTGTCTTTCGTCTGGCAGAAATAGGGTTGGGCTGGATGGCCTTTGGCGTCTCTACCAAGCCTAGGATTCGGAGCATGGTGGAGTCTCCTTCTCTGGAGGTTGTTAAGCAGAGGCTGGATGGCCATCTGCCGGGAGAGCTTTGAGTGTGTCTTTCATCTGGCAGAAATAGGGTTGGACTGGATGGCCTTTGGCGTCTCTACCAAGCCTAGGATTCGGAGCATGGTGGAGTCTCCTTCTCTGGAGGTTGTTAAGCAGAGGCTGGATGGCCATCTGCCGGGAGAGCTTTGAGTGTGTCTTTCATCTGGCAGAAATAGGGTTGGACTGGATGGCCTTTGGCGTCTCTACCAAGCCTAGGATTCGGAGCATGGTGGAGTCTCCTTCTCTGGAGGTTGTTAAGCAGAGGCTGGATGGCCATCTGCCGGGAGAGCTTTGAGTGTGTCTTTCATCTGGCAGAAATAGGGTTGGACTGGATGGCCTTTGGCGTCTCTACCAAGCCTAGGATTCGGAGCATGGTGGAGTCTCCTTCTCTGGAGGTTGTTAAGCAGAGGCTGGATGGCCATCTGCCGGGAGAGCTTTGAGTGTGTCTTTCATCTGGCAGAAATAGGGTTGGACTGGATGGCCTTTGGCGTCTCTACCAAGCCTAGGATTCGGAGCATGGTGGAGTCTCCTTCTCTGGAGGTTGTTAAGCAGAGGCTGGATGGCCATCTGCCGGGAGAGCTTTGAGTGTGCCTTCCTGTCTGGCAGAAATAGGGTTGGGCTTGAGGTTGTTAAGCAGAAGTTGGATGACCATCTGTTGAGAGTGCCATGGTTGTGGCAGAAGATGGTTGGATGGATGGCCTTTGGGAGTCTCCTCCAACGCTAGGATGCTGTGATTCTGTGGAAGCGGAGACCTCGGTGACACAGTTGGTTAAACTGCTGAGCTGCTAAACTTGTTGACTGAAAAGTCACAGGTTCGAATCCAGGGAGTGGGGTGAGCTCCTGCTGTTAGCCCCAGCTTCTGCCAACCTAGTAGTTTGAAAACATGCAATTGTGAGTAGATCAATAGGTACCACTCCAGCAGGAAGGTAACGGCACTCCATGCAGTCATGCCAGTGGCCACATGGCCTTCGAGGTGTCTGTGGACAAGGCCGGCTCTTCGGGTTATTTATTTCTTTAAAAGTTTTATATACCGATTTTCTCACCTCTCTTGAGGGACTCAGACTGGTTTCCAACCATAATATCATATACCGTCAATAAAACATCATACTTCATATTGCAATAAAACACTACAATGGTCAGTCGTCCCACTAAATTTGATGTTCCTCATCCTCCATCCATATCTCGGGGTGTTGGCTCACTCATCGAATGCCTGTCTCCATAACCACGTCTTCACCTGCTTCCTGAATGTCAGGATAGAAGGGGCGGTTCTGATCTCCGGTGGGAGAGAGTTCCAGAGTCGAGGGGCCACCACTGAGAAGGGTTAGAAATGGAGACGAGCCCCAGAGTCCCAGAGTCGGACACGAGTGGGCTTAATGTCAGGGAAAAGCTTGACCTTTCTTATGGAAGAGGAGGGCTGTCTCAGGATGCTGAGAAGAGGGCCTTTGATGAATCATAGAATCAAAGAGTTGGAAGAGACCTCCTGGGCCATCCAGTCCAACCCCATTCTGCCAAGAAGCAGGAATGTTGCATTCAAATCACCCCTGACAAATGGCCATCCAGCCTCTGCTTAAAAGCTTCCAAAGAAGGAGCCTCCACCACACTTGGGGGCAGAGAGTTCCACTGCTGAACGGCTCTCACAGTCAGGAAGTTCTTCCTAATGTTCAGATGGAATCTCCTCTCTTGTAGTTTGAAGCCATTGTTCCTTGCGTCCTAGTCTCCAGGGAAGCAGAAAGGAAGCTTGCTCCCTCCTCCTCCCTGTGGCTTCCTCTCACATATTTATACATGGCTCTCATCATATCTCCTCTCAGCCTTCTCTTCTTCAGGCTAAACATGCCCAGCTCCTTAAGCCGCTCCTCATAGGGCTTGTTCTCCAGACCCTTGATCATTTTAGTCGCCCTCTTTCTCTGGACACATTCCAGCTTGTCAATATCTCTCTTGAATTGTGGTGCCCAGAATTGGACACAATATTCCAGATGTGGTCTAACCAAAGCAGAATAGAGCATGGGTAGCATTACTTCCTTAGATGAGCGGTTCAGCCTACGGATGCTCTGAAGGCTCCTTCTCAGCTTCAACCAGAACAGGCAGGATTGGATCTTCAGAGAAGGCAGCCTTGGAAGGGCCGCTCGCTTCCTCACCTGGCTGCTCACCTGCCAGGCCATAGCTGAGCATTCCCGAGTTCCACCAACAGTGACATCACAAAGCGTCTCTGAGGCAACCTCGGAATGCTGCCTCTGTTTGAGAGCCTGTCTCCTTGAGCCTTGGACCAGCGATGGATGCCACGACCCGGCCGCACCGCATTCCCCCGGTGATGGGGGTCTACGCCGAGAAGCACAAGGTCTTCCAGCTGATGCAGAACATGACGGAGGCCCTGCTCATCTTCCGGCCGGAGGACCCCATCGACTTCATGATCGAGCACCTGAAGAAGGACAACGACGAGGTGCCGGCGGTGTTTGTGCTGGGCCCGCCGGCCGCGGGGAAGACCACCATCTCCCGCTGGCTCTGCAAGCACCTCAGCGCCACCTACCTCAACCCTCAGCAGCTCCTGAAGAACAAGCTCCTGCACCGCTCCCGCGAGGCTCTCCAGCAGCAGGAGCGCGAGGGCAGCGTCTCGGATGAGTTGTGGGCCGCGCTGCTGGAGGACCGCCTGGCCGACGTGGACTGCGTCAAGCTGGGCTGGGTGCTGGACGGCTTCCCCGAGACACGGGCCCAAGCCCGGTTGCTGCAGGCACTGGGCGTTGCCCCCCGGCACGTGGTGGTCCTGGACGCGCCCGAGATGGTCCTCGTGGAGCGGAACCTGGGCAAGCGCCTGGACCCGGTCACCCAGGAGGTCTACCACACCACCTTCGACTGGCCCATCGACTTCACCGTGCAGAAGCGGCTGATCAAGCCCGAGGGCACCTCAGCCCAGGATACTGCCAAGCGCCTGCTGGAGAGCCACCGCAACATCCCGGACCTCCTCCGGACGTACCCGGACAACCACAAGATCATCAGCGCTGACCAGCCCTGCGCTGACGTCTTCGCCCAGGCCCTGAGCTTCGTCCAGAGCCGCTTCCGCTCTGGGGCGCCCTTCTCGCCACGAGTGTTGCTCTTGGGGCCGCCGGGCAGCGGGAAGAGTCTGCAGGCGGCCCTCCTGGCCCAGAAGTACGGCCTCGTGCCCGTCTCCTTCGTGGACCTGCTCCGGGAGGAAGTGGCCGGCCGGACGGCGCTGGGGGAGCTCATCAAGCCCTCTTTCGAGAGTGGATACCCGGTGGGTGACAGTGTGGCGCTGCGGGTGCTGGGGAACCGCCTGGCCCAGCCGGACTGCATCACCCGTGGGTGGGTGATGCACGGCTTCCCCCGAGACGTGGACCAGGCCGACCTCCTGCGCCGCGCGGGTCTGGAGCCCAACCGTGTCTTCTTCCTGCATCTGCCAACCGAGGTGGCTGCCCAGCGCCTCTGCCAGCGGGCCACCGACCCTGTCTCCGGGGACCGCTACCACACCATCTTCAAGCCTCCGGCCAATGAGGAGATCCACCACCGCCTGCGCCGCAACCCCCGGGACAACCCTCCACGGGTAGAGAAGAAGACCGAGGTCTACGACCGGCAGGTGTGCGACCTGGAGGACTTCTACGAGGAGGCCCTCTTCGTCAACGCCGACCAGGACCCCTACACCGTCTTTGAGTATCTCGAGAGCTGCCTGGTCACGCCCCTGCCGGTCACCAAGCCCGGGATACGGTCCCTGGCCGGAAGCAGCAGTCGCCAGTGATGCCGCCGGCACACCGAGACAGCCGTTGACAACATTGTGCGCGCAATGCTTCATGGGCAGCGAGTCCGCTTCAGATGCAATTTTTCCAGGAGGGCAAACCCCTTTCCCCTTTGTTTTAATACTAATTTGTATTCAAAAGTAAATGAAATACAAAAATACAAAACAAAGCATGCCCTGTGCCTTGTGGACAGCGAGTCCGCTTCGAATGCAAGCTTCCCAGGAGGGCAACCCCCTTTCTCCTTTATTCTAATACTAATTTTGGTTCAAAAGTAAATAAAAAATTTTGAAAATGCAAAACAAAGAATGCAGATTTCCATGGTACGCTAATGTGTGTTGTCCTGCTTTGCATTTTCTGAACACAGGATTCTGTGAAGAACTGAAGGATTACACAGCCCAACTAAAGCAATATTCTTGGTGTATTGTTGAAGGCTTTCGTGGCCGGAATCACTGGGTTGTTGTAGGTTTTTTTCAGGCTATATGGCCACATTCTAGAACAGTGGTTCTCAACTTATGAGTCCCCAGATGTTTTGGCCTTCAACTCCCAGAAATCCTAACAGCTGTTAAACTGGCTGGGATGTCTGGGAATTGCAGGCCAAAACACCTGGGGATCCACAGGTTGAGAACCACTGTTCTAGAAGCATTCTCTCCTGACGTTTCGCCTGCATCTATGGCAAGCATCCACAGAGGTTGTGAGGTCTGTTTGGGTGGATGTTGGACCATCTTAATAGCATCCACCCAAACATCCAATTCACCATGGAAAAAGAAAATGAAGGAAGGCTGCCTTTTCTAGATGTCCTAGTCATCCGCAAACCAGATCAACAAGTGGGCCACATAGTCTACAGAAAACCTACACACGTGGATAGAGACCTATGTAAAAACTCCAACCATCCCCCAAGTCAAAAAAAGAAGCCCCATTAAAGCCCTTGCAGACCATGCAAAAAGGAATCTGTGAAGCCCACCTCCTCCAAGATGGACTGAAGCACCTCAACTGGGCTCTCCAGGCCAATGGAGACTCCACCACAGACATCAGAAGAGCGGCAAGACAACCGAGAAGAAGCCACGAGAGTCAAGATGAAGACCCACCCAGAGGAAAAGTGTTCTTGCCAGACATCAAGGGAACCACTGACCACAGAGGGAAGCGGATGAGGAAACACAACATACACACTATCTCCAGATCCACCAAGGAAATCCAACCAATGCTCCGTTCAGCAAAGGACAAGAGGGACCCTCTCGCTTCTGAAGGAGTCTACCGTATACCATGCAGCTGTGGACCAGAAGTCTCCAGAGGGACCCCCAAACGCAGCTGCATTGCCCAAGCACGGATCAGAAAATGGCATTGGATTGACCACATCAGCTCCAGACAGCGACATCACACCTGTTGTCGAAGGCTTTCATGGCTGGAGTCATAGAATCATAGAATCAAAGAGTTGGAAGAGACCTCATGGGCCATCCAGTCCAACCCCATCTTCCAAGAAGCAGGAATATTGCATTCAAATCACCCCTGACAGATGGCCATCCAGCCTCTGTTTAAAAGCTTCCAAAGAAGGAGCCTCCACCACACTCCGGGGCAGAGAGTTCCACTGCTGAACGGCTCTCACAGTCAGAAAATTCTTCCTCATGTTCAGATGGAATCTCCTTTCTTGTAGTTTGAAGCCATTGTTCCGCGTCCTAGTCTCCAGGGAAGCAGAAAACAAGCTTGCTCCCTCCTCCCTGTGGCTTCCTCTCACATATTTATACATGGCTATCATATATCCTCTCAGCCTTCTCTTCTTCAGGCTAAACATGCCCAGCTCCTTAAGCCGCTCCTCATAGGGCTTGTTCTCCAGACCCTTGATCATTTTAGTCGCCCTCCTCTGGACACATTCCAGCTTGTCAATATCTCTCTTGCACTGTGGTGCCCAGAATTGGACACAATATTCCAGGTGTGGTCTAACCAAAGCGGAATAGAGGGAGCATTACTTCCCTAGATCTAGACACTATGCTCCTATTGATGCAGGCCAAAATCCCATTGGCTTTTTTTGCCGCCACATCACATTGTTGGCTCATGTTTAACTTGGTGTCCACGAGGACTCCAAGATCTTTTTCACACGTACTGCTCTCGAGCCAGGCGTCACCCATTCTGTATCTTTGCATTTCATTTTTTCTGCCAAAGTGGAGTATCTTGCATTTGTCACTGTTGAACTTCATTTTGTTAGTTTTGGCCCATCTCTCTAATCTGTCAAGATCGTTTTGAATCCTGCTCCTGTCCTCTGGACTATTGGCTATTCCTCCCAATTTGGTGTCGTCTGCAAACTTGATGATCCTGCCTTCTAACCCTTCATCTAAGTCATTAATAAAGATGTTGAACAGGACCGGGCCCAGGACGGAACCCTGCGGCACTCCACTTGTCACTTCTTTCCAAGATGAAGAGGAAGCATTAGTGAGCACTCTCGGTGTTCGTCCACTTAACCAATTACAGATCCACCTCACCGTAGTTTTGCCTAGCCCACATTGGACTAGTTTCCTTGCCAGAAGGTCATGGGGGACCTTGTCGAAGGCCTTACTGAAATCCAGACACGCTACATCCACGGCATCATTCCCCGCATCTACCCAGCTTGTAGCTCTATCGAAGAAAGAGATCAGATTAGTCTGGCATGACTTGTTTTTGATAAATCCATGTTGACTATTAGCGATGACTGCATTTGTTTCTAAGTGTTTGCAGACCGCTTCCTTAACAATCTTTTCCAGAATCTTGCCCGGTATCGACGTGAGGCTGACCGGACGGTAGTTGTTTGGGTCATCCTTTTTTCCCTTCTTGAAGATTGGGACCACATTGGACCTCCTCCAATCTGCTGGAACTTCTCCCGTTCTCCAAGAACTCTCAAAGATGGTTGCCAATGGTTCCGAAATGACTTCCGCTAGTTCCTTCAATACTCTGGGGTGTAGTTGATCTGGCCCTGGGGACTTGAACTCATTAAGAGCGGCCAGGTATTCCTGGACAACTTCTTTCCCAATTTGGGGTTGGATGTCCTCCAATCCCTCATCCACTCCATCTTGCTGAGGTTGAAGACTTTCTTTTTGTGAGAAGACCGAGGCAAAGAAGGCATTAAGTAGTTCTGCCTTTTCCCTATCCCCTGTCAGCATTGCCCCATCTTCTCCTCGAAGAGGCCCTATCGCCTCCTTGTTTTTCCTTTTTCTACTGACATAAGAAAAGAAGCCCTTTTTGTTGTTTTTAATGTCCCTGGCAAGCCTGAGCTCGTTTTGTGCTTTAGCCTTGCGGACCTTTTCCCTACAGGTGTTGGCTATTTGTTTGAATTCTTCTTTGGTGATTTCTCCCTTTTTCCACTTCTTGTGCATGTCTCTTTTGTGTCTTAGCACAGTTAGAAGTTCTTTGGACATCCACTCTGGCTTCTTTGCACTTGTCCTATTTTTTCTCTTTTTTGGCACGGTTTGCAATTGCGCCTTGAGTATTTCACTCTTGAGAAATTCCCATCCATCCGTAACTCCCTTGTCTTTTAGTATCTGTGTCCACGGAATGCTGCTCAGCGTTTCCTTCATTTTTTGGAAATCAGCTCTCCTAAAGTCCAAAATGCGGGTTTGACTTGTCTTACTTTCGGCCTTCCTTTGTACCTCAAATTGCAGGAGCACATGGTCACTTGCCCCTAAGGATCCTACCACTTCGACCGCATCGATCAGGTCCTCCGCATTTGTTAGGATGAGATCAAGAGTAGCCAATCCCCTTGTTGCCTCTTCTACCTTCTGGACCATGAAATTGTCTGCAAGGCAAGCGAGGAATTTGTTGGACCTTGTACTCTTGGCTGAATCATTGGGTTCCTGCGGGTTTTTCGGGCCTTGGACAGTATGACCCAGCCATGGGCAAACTTGGGCCCTCCCTCCAGGTGTTTTGGACTTCAAAACTCCCACCATTCCTTGGCTGTTAGGAATGGTGGGAGTTGGAGTCCAAAACACCTGGAGGGAGGGCCCAAGTTTGCCCATGCCTGGCGTAACCCATTTTCAGCCGCTGAGCAGGGACTGACCACCCCGCCTTGCTCCTTTCCCCTCTGGAATGAAAGGAGTGTTTGCTCTCTCCGTGAGCCCCTTGTGCATAATGCTCCGGAGGGGCCCTGGGTCTGTGCAAACAGCGCCAGGTGGGGCCGCCCCATTGTCATCTCCTCGTTAAGGCCGGCCGACCCTCTGGTTGCTCAGACCTTCTCAGACAGTGTGCAAATACCTCCAGGGTCTCCATGGACCACCGTAAAAGGGACAGAAGACAAAAAATGGCTGCTTTTGCTGGGGAGGGGGTTTCCTTTGAATGCAAATCCCTGCAAGGCTAAGAAGAAAAGCAAAGCTTCCCTCAGAAAGGGCGCTTCTGGAGCGCCGAGGGGTCATTGCAACCCTAAAATCCAATTAAGTAGAAGCCACTTTGGGTGTTTAATGAGGTCACATCGCTCCTGGGAAAAGGGCAACGGTGCGGAGGGAAATGGAGGCAGGAAAAGAAGGAGGCCATCTCTCTCTCTCGTAGTCCGAGTAGGATAGTCCTCCGGGATGGGTCCGTAGGTGACTTGACCTGCATGTTCTCCCATGGTGAGGGCATCGGTTTCCAGTTGGAAGGCGGTCCCGGTCGGGGTTGGCTTGACGCACCTTCTTCCTCTTGGCACGTTTCTCTCTTTCACCCTTCATTCATGCCTCTTCAAATTCTGCAGCATTGCTGGTCACAGCTGACCTCCAGCTGGAGCGCTCAAGGGCCAGGGCTTCCCAGTTCTCAGTGTCTATGCCAGAGTTTTTAAGGTTGGCTTTGAGCCCATCTTTCAATCTCTTTTCCTGTCCACCAACATTCCGTTTTCCGTTCTTGAGTTCGGAGTAGAGCAACTGCTTTGGGCACCCGGACGACGTGGCTGGTCCAGCAGAGTTGATGGCGGAGGACCATCGCTTCAGTGCTAGTGGTCTTTGCTTCTTCTTCCAGCATGCTGACATTTCCCCGCCTGCCTTCTCAAGAGATTTGCAGGATTTTCCAGAGGCAG